TTATAAAATTTTCTACTCTGGTTTGAGAACAGACACTGATTCTGTTCTTAGATGAGTGTGTTTCTTCTAATTCTTCGGGGGAAATTCCTTCCCCAGCCTTGTGTGGTTTTTTCAAACCTATACGCTAATCAGTACTCTCAAGAATACTGGAGAAATCCCTTTGGGGTTTCTTGCAGTTCCCTTCCCATGCTTACCGCACTTCAGTTCTGAGTGTAGGGCATTCCAGCTGCCATGGTTTCTCTGGACCCCCATCTGTTTCTTCTCAATTTCAGGAAGTTTCCCAGGCTCTGCCTACCCCGTGCCCAACCCTTCTAGACTACAACCTGAAAATCTCCTCAAGGTAGCAAGCTGAGGCAATTGGACTCACCTCATTTGTTTCTCATTTCTCAGGGTTCATTGTCTTCTGTTCCTGATGTCTGGGTCTTGTTTTCATGTATTTTGCCTTTGTATTAGTTTAGGAAAGAGGGCTTATCTGATCCCTGTTACTTTATGTTGGTCAGAAATGGAAGTTTATGCTTGGGTTTTGATGTAAGAGTACTCACTAGTTATCACAAAATGTCTATTTTTAGGTTTGATTTTTTTTGCCCTTGAGTTATTAAAGGGAGTCTTTTTATTTATTGCAATAGTTTGGATCTGGATGTCTACTTAAAGGCCCACATGTTAAAGACTTTATTCTCAGCTTGACACTATTTGGAAGTGGTAGAGCCTAGGGGAGGATTTAGGTCTTTTGGAGCATTCCCTCAAAGGGGGATCTCTTCCTCTTTTTCTTTGCTGGCCTTCCATACCCTGTACTCCCCTCCCTCTTTAGGTACAATCTTGCTATACACTCAGAAGCAACAGGGAAAACTAAGCATAGATGGAACCCCCATTAGTCAAAATAAGTTTTTTCTCTTTTTAAGTTCATTTTCTTATGTATTCTGTTAATAGTGGAAAGCTGACTAACATAATTAGAAATTATATTCTTCTCCAGACTTCTGTTGTGGTTTCTAATTTTATAGCCCTATGAATAGAGAATGTGACCTTTGTGATAAAATCTTGTAAAGAGACTAAATAGGTTGCTATCTCATCTCTTAATTTTGAGAGAGATTAGTTAACATTGTCATTTTTCTGTGAGTTTTGCTTTATACATGCCAAAGCTATGCTAGTTGCAAAAGTTATGTCTTTATCATGCACTATTAATTTTATGAATATAAAATATCCTTGATGTATTTTCAAGTTAATTCTATTTTGTTTTATATTATTATTATTGTCAACATCCTTATTTTCATTAATATTTTATTAGTATTAGGTATGTCTTTTGTACTGGTTAATTGTTAGTATTTCTTTGTCATTTGATTTTAGGAGTTCCTCT